ACACGTACACACACACACACACACACACACACACACATACACACATACACGCACACACATACACACACATACATATTTTGCTTTCTTTACGTTTTCTATCCTCGTACTTTCACGAGTATACCACTGAACACATACACACACATACATATTTTGCTTTCTTTACGTTTTCTATCCTCGTACTTTCACGAGTATACCACTGAGTGTCGAGGGAAGATGCAAACCGTTGGGTGTTGGCCAGGTGTGTTTGCTATTCGGAACGCCGTGCTATTCCTTTGGAGGGTCTCTTTGACTCTGTGGACCCATCTTTTTCTTGGCCTTCTTCTGCACTGAAGCCATCAATCGCACCATGTTGTTGGCCTTGGGGGATGGCTGTTGTGGTTTCATTCTCATTACATGTCCAAACGATCTTATTTCTTTTATTTCGATGTATTCCATGCTCGATTCCACGCATACGTGATGCCTGGTGTCTTTATTACATTGTCAGACTGTCTCTCCTTGTGAGTTTGAATGTTTTTCTAAGACATTTTATTTCGCATGCTGTTGTTCTATTTTGAGGCGCTTTACTGAGGGTTCAGCTTTGGCACTGGTAGGTAGTACAGATTTGGTATACAAATTGATCTGATGAGTTGGTTCTAGGTCTCCATCGGGATGTTTTGAAGAGAGAGGATTGGTGATAGTTGATATGTGACCGTGTTTGCCTTTTGTACTCCTGCTTCAATTTCTCTGTCCTTTTTTCTGTCTGATGTGAACATGCTTCTAAGGTATTTGAAATCTTGTACTAGTAAACTGAAGGACACCGTTACCTTCTCGGACGAGTCTCGATTTCAACTTAAACGCGACGAAAGGAGAATAAAAGCATACAAGAGACCACATGGGCACTATCTGCTATTTAAAAGAAATACAGTCAGTCCATATCATTCCAAAAGCACAACGCACCCGAAAAACATGCATTCCACTCTCAGTTAAAAAGTAAAGTAAAGAATAATTATTGTCACCGTAATGGGTTCAAGGCCTGCCCTGTCTTCAGATTTGAGCCCGATGGAATACCCGTTGGGCGGAATTGACTGTGCTATTGTTTAATACGGGGTGTCCATTGGAGGATCGGGCCGCGTCGGGCCGGGTCGGGAAGATCGCCCGACTCGTCGCCTGAAAACAAACGCGTTTGTTTTTGAGGCGATGAGTCGGGCGCGATCGGTTTGTGGCATAATAATAGCCGCTCGGCGCCCTCAATCTGGCATGCACACGGACCAGACCCGACCCAATCTCCCAAAGGGCACCCCGTATAAGACGTGAATCGCGGTTCGGAGGCCATTTTACAGCTGCAGCAAGCCCTCACCACTGCCTGAAACAACATTTTGTAGGCAGTAGGCAGACTTGCATACTTTATGCGCTCGAATTGCACTGCTGAGCCACACCGCGAACTGATGTGTGCCTTTTGGATTTGACCTCTTTTGTCAAATTTCAATAGTAAAATATACGTTTTTGATGTTTAAAACAAAGGACAATCCCTCCGTATTTTTTCACTCTGATTTGTCTTTCAAATACTTAATTTTCTTTCAAATGTTTATTTTTCTAAAGAAAAAACAAATGAATATGATATATTCTGGTACCTTTTTATTGGTAGTAAATATAATACTATGTATATTATACTGGTGCTCCAAAGAAAAGTACAACTTTTGGATTGATTATAAAATTTGGTCTTCTGAGTCTTTACGTTTTTTCTTTTATCTACAAGGAACGGAGAATTATCTATTGCTTTCCTGACAAGCAGTCACGTGCCAATTTCGAAGATACTCTTAATATCTATACTACTTTGAGTAGTTTCAGTTTTTGGATAGGACATTATTTGAATTTTACACCGATAGTGGCCCTTAGGGCCTACTGTTTTCGATTTTAGAATGGCCAAGTAATACATCTTCACGTGGGGCCTCCAAAAATGTTCATCCTTACTCCAGAAGACGAAGTGGTCGATCTTGCACACCAGAAGGTTTGGAAACATGGAGATGAAAAAAAACGAAGGCTCTGGCAGGGATCTAACTTCATATTTGGATCGACAGGCGAAAACTAGACTTGCTAAGCTACTGAACTGAAAGAAAACTTACAATGTTGTTTAAACCGTTCATGTCCAAGCTTGCCAACCGTGAGTCCGTGCTTTTACGTGATAGCAAAAGCTGGCTTATTATAGCGGAATGTGTTTAGAAGTCTACTTTATGCTAATTCTTTTTGGCTGCAGGTTCAGTTTTCCTGTTTCACATCTGGAACATTATCATAATTCATCTCGGCAAGTTCCCAAACTAACAAAGGACAAAAAAGAGCATTGTTTTTCGAAGATAAAAAAATATTTTTGTTTTGTACGGAATGTTCAATATGAAAACAAAGAAGGAAATGTTTACCCCCCCCCCCCCGAAGCACAAGAGCTCAACCACTGCCCCTCAACAAAAAAAACAACAACAAAACAAATTAAACCCCCAACCCAAAAATTATTTTAAAAACATCAAACAACAGCACAGAAAAGAAATAAGACAAGTCAACACACAGAAGTTTAATGCTGTCGAACTCGCTCTAACCACTTTGAACAATCACATAAAAATTATATTATGTATAACATAATACCGACGACCCGTTCTCACCCCCCCCCCTCCCTTTTTTGCGATTCTTCTCTACACTGTAAACTGTAATGATCTTTCCCGGGGTAGGGGAGGGTGGGATACCAATTTAAGATGACCACTGTTCTCGTCAACAATGGGTGATCGTCTTTGTTACGTTCGACTGCAGATAGAATGATGATAAAAGGGAAAAGCCTTTTTATAGCGCAATTCATGCTCACCTGTACCACAGTGGGAGCTCGCCGGGATTGTCTTCTCTCACCCACTCTTTTCAACAAACATTTTCTTTGAGAGGATCATGACAGAAGCACTGGAAGATCACGAAGGAACAATCAGTATTGGTTGCAGAACGATTAATAACTTACGTTTTGCAGACGACATAGACGGCCTTGCGGGACAAGAGAAAGAACTAGCCAGCTTAGTAGACCGTCTTCAAAAGACCTCCACAGCATGCAGCATGGAAATCAGTGCTGAGAAGACCAAACTGATGTCTAACAACAAGGACATCACAGTAGACATTCAGGTCAACAACCAGCTGCTTGAGACCGTACGCAGCTTCAAATACCTGGGTGCAATAGTGACAGACGAAGGATCAAAACCAGAAATAATCTCAAGAACAGCGCAAACTTCAGCAGGAATAACCAAGATGAAAACCATCTGGAACAAAAGAAATATCACCACCAGATCAAAGATCAGACTGAAGCGTTCCCTGGTCATGTCAGTAAGCGTGTGAAACCTGGACCTTGAATGCAGACCCTGAAAGAAGAATCAAAACTGTGGAGATGAGATGCTTCCGAAAAATCCTTGGTAACTTATATAGAGATCAAACCGCAAATGATGAATTCAAACAACCAATCAAAAATGAAATGGGACCATATACTGACCGTCTCACTTTGGTCAGAAAACGCAAACTGCAATGGTATGGACACATCAACCGTTCAATGGGCCTTGCTAAGATGATCCTGCAAGGCAGCGCCCAGGGAAAAAGGAGCAGAGGCAGACCGAAGAAGAATTGTGAGGACAACATCAAGGAATGGACAGGCCTGAAACTCAAAGACAAGCTCAGGAAAGCTGAAGACCGGAAGGAGTGGAGGAAGCTGGTCGCCAAATCTTCAAAAGCGCCCCGATGGACATCCAGTCTACGGGATAGCTGAAGGTGAAGGTCAAGTCTTGTATTACTCAAGCAGACGTGATAGCATTCTGAAACAATATTTACCTGTGGGAAGCATACAGAGGAAGCTGCCATTTTATAGTGGCTAAAACATAAACCTACTAACAAGATCTTTCGCCGTCTATGATCGTGTAGCCATTCGGATCTGGGTGAAGTGAGGGAAATCCGTGTAAATAAGTTCCGTTCCCGAGGACACCTCGTTGGGCCAGAGCATCGAACCCCCGAGCCTACAACCTCTCAATTACGAGTCTGGTAGCTTAACTTCTAGACTACTGATACCGCAAAAGTATTCAGAGTGCCAAACAAAGAGTGCTGTCACAACGCAAACTAAAATGTGTCATGACACGGTGGAATCCGGCGCTCATCAATTTTTGGGCATTTGGAGGTATTATCCTTCTTAAAGCGAGTTAATTTATCTCTCTTTCAAATGCAAAAAAGACATACCCATATATCTTGAGAAGAAATCGAGATATTTAGCATAGAAGGAGATTGGGGTCGTTCGGTTTCAGAGGTTAAATTAGCGAGAAAATGGTCGCCAAAGTTGAGTAATTTCCATAGCCTGGGAGTCCTTGGAAACTAAAAATTTACAATTTTTGTACCGTCCCCCCCCCCCCCCAAAGTAAGATCCACATAGAAGTACAGTTTCAAAAGAACATAAAAGGTACTGATAAAAAAGCACACATCCCCCCCTTAAGAGTCGACAAAAATTTTGAAAAATTGCCAAACCGCCGAAACAATGCCGATTTCTTCGATTTCATTGTTTTGACGAGCGCCTGATTTCAACACGACACCTCACAAGTATTGCCACCAAACGCCAGTGTACAATTACTACTAATTGGACTTTTCGTCTAGGGTGAGGGGTATGAGGTGGGGATAGGGAAAGGGGCGGGAAGAGTGGAGGGTTAGAAATCAGTGCGTCCAAAGTAGGCTACCCAACCCATTTTCCCCCTCAACATCTGCTACACTCTCCTTAAAAAAAAAACCAGAAAAACCTACGCCTATGTACGTGCAGTCCGTGGCCTCCAAAGGTTAACCCATGGATTACTTGCAGCATTTTGGTTCCTTTGCTATGTCGACTGTTTGGTGGCGCCCACGTATGCCTGCCTAATGTTCGCAAATTCCAACCTTACAGCATAATTGTACACTCTGATTAGAAGCAGGTGGGGGTGCAGGCTTCATGAATAATTCATGTTTGGACAATTAAAAATATTAGCTGTTTGATATAAAATAAACGGACGCCATCGAGACAACAGTTGAGGTGCTCACATCACACTAGCAGTTCCACGACAAGACGAGTCGGGAAGTGAGGAAGGAATAAAAGTGAAGGAATTCCTAGGCATTCATTTATTCTTGAAGTTACACCTAGTCAGAAACGACAAGATGATTAAACTGCTGTGCGTCTTTATTGTTGCCCTGGTGAGTAAAACTCAGTTTTCTACTTGGTTCTCTTTTCAGGGCCGTTCCTTTGTGAGACAAATACTACATTTTTAAGCTAATTTGCTGATAAAAACATCAAAAAAAGATATAAACTAATTCGCAGGTTGATACATAAAGGTCAAGAGAGAGAGAGAGAGAGAGAGAGAGAGTTTGTTCCGCGTGGGGAGGCCCACAAGCAAAACAAAAAAACCAACAAAAAAGCCCATTTTAAAACACACACAAAAAGTTTCAAGTATTTAACAAAATAAATCACAACTTATCTTATTTTCTCAACCTTTTGGGCTGCGGGCTCCGAGTTTGAGATAGCTGATCCTAGCAGAATGAGCTCTTCCCCCATGAAGAGTATAACATTGTAGCTGTATTGTTAATCATGGTCGGCGCAGTTCTAGGTGCATTGTCTGATAAAAGTAGATTTGAACATTCTTATCCTGTCAGAACAAATTAAAAGTACCCCTGTAAACAACTGATAGTTAAAAAATCTTTATGCCAGTAGATCAATGCTTGATATTAATTTGTAGAGTTATATTATTTATTGCCCCCCCCCCCCATATTTCTTGTTCTATTGTCGGGTTTTTTTTCTTATATTTGTGGCAGTATATTCATGTCCTCCTTCATCTATTTCCGTATAATTGAGAAATACATTCAATGTTCCTCTTTATTTATTGTCCCATAGCTGTATCTTATATTTATGAAAATGTATTTAACCAACCTCTTCTCTTATATATTGTCATAACTTTGTAGAATAAAAATAAATACCCATCTTTATCCATTGTCCTTTAGTTGTGAAATGGTATACAATTTAATGTCCTCTTTTATTTATCTCCCATATTTGTCAACTTTTATTTCATGCCCTTCTCTATTTTTGTCCTAAATTTGTAAAATTATTTGTGATTTTCTTTTTTATTTATTGTCATGTTGTTAACTACCTTTATTCTTTGATCTATATATTTTGTTTTTTATGATTGAGATGTTCTTTTTTACGGTCCTGTACGTTTTAGTCCTACATTTGTTTACCTATTATTTGCTATCCTATAATCTATTACTTATATTCCTTTTCCTATGCCCGTTATCCTATTATTTATTTCCCCCTATTCATTGTCCTGATTTTATTGTCCAGTGCGTATTGTCAAACATTTCTTATACTATATTCATTGTATTGTGTCCATTGTCATGTTTTTTGTTCTATAACTCGCAGTGTATACTTACTATATAAACTATCCCATAGTTTATCATTTATTGTTTTCTTTTGCATATCAAATAATAATGATGATAATAATAATAATGATATAATATGCTTGAAATGTGACATTTTATTTTTTTGCTCTTCCTCAGGGGGCTATCAATGCCAGCGTGGGTGAGTATCTCAAGTTAGCACTGTTCTTTCATTGGAATTCAGTATGAAAGAAGAGCAGTTACAGTAGATGTGTTAGGGTGATAAAAGGACTTGGAGAACGTGAACGAAACAGAAGAAGATGAAAAAGAAGAAAGGGGAGGGGGCGATGTTTAAAAAAGGGAGGAATATGAAGTAGAGGATGTGGAGAAGGAACGGTATTAAAGTGAATAATAGCAGCAACATAGGACGATCAGAAAAACACCACAGCTTGCCACAGAGAGCAGCGTCGTTTGTTTTTTCCTGAAGTGATGCGTTTATCTACATAAACATTAATAATATTATGGCGGGATGGTTAAACCTTTTTATGGCTTCGCTTATGACCTTCAAGAGCTATTCCTTTTGTAGTAGAATTATCCACAGGGCAGCACTTGTGGTCTATATTGGACCAATGTTATGTTAGGATTTGACTGTCTCGATTGATCCTTCTTTCCTATCAAACATTTATCATCCTCATCTTTTCTTTTTCTTTTGTAAGTTTGTCACACTCTTGTAACACCTCTAACGTTCGGCATTAATATGGCCTTATTGTGTTGAAAGTGCCGTAAAATTCTTACTAAATCTTAACTGGCTTGATTTATTTCCTGCTTCTCCATCTGTCTCTGCTTTACAAACACATTGATGCTATATGTGACCATTCTACGCAACTTTCATCATCATCCGGTGCCTTGCCGACTGGCGTGGACAATCATGGACCTCCACTTTTATCTGTCTTGCGTTGCAGCGATGTTGTCTGTCGTTCTTGCTGGTCCTTGCCATGTTGTCAACTTGTCCAATTTCTTTTCCCTCTGTCTGCCTCTACTTCTCTTTCCATCAAACTTGCCTGTTGTTACAATATTCCCCAATGCTTCTTTCCGCATTGTGTGTCCAATGAAATTAGCCTTCCGCTTTCGTTTATTCGTCATGAGCAATCTTCTGCCATTTTCTACTTTACCCATACCTAATCGAACCTAAACATTACCACAAGCAATCTCTGTTTTCTCTCTCTCTCCTCACAGTCAAACGTGAAACAATCCACGACAAAGGAACTCATCTGCTGGGTAAGTTCACACTTAAAAAGTCGTTTGAAAAAAACCAATGACGTGATTGTCTCAGTATGCTTTAAGTCAGGCATGGAAAAACCAAGGGTCGCGGCCCAGACCCGACTCACGAGAAGTTTCATAATCTCGTAAATACACCCAGTAATTACTTTTTTTAAAAATTGACCCATCGTGAGTTGATATATATTAAAAAACACCCCTCCCCCTTCCCCCGAAGACTATCATTTCAGTCCGTGAATTACTCATTTTACCTCCCACGTCCCCTAACTCCAGTCAAAACTGTCTAATGTCTAAGACAGCTGTCAATTGCCGAGGAGAAAAGTGGCTGTTTTAGCCAGTTGGTTGTCTTACCCTATGTCATTATAATGTAATGATGTAATTACTCAAAGGAAGAAATCAATTTTGAAGTGGCTGTTTGAAAAGGTGATTGTTCTACATTGGTGGCCGTTTGAGCAGGCTCGACTGGTAGTTGTTTAATAATAATAATAATAATAATAATAATAATAATAATAATAATAATAATAATAATAATAATAATAATAATAGCAACATTTGTATAGCGCAAATCCCGGCTCAACAGCAAGCTCTATGCGCTTCGCAATCTATACTATTACCCCAGCAGACATGAGAGCATTCTGAAACAACCTCAACTTCCTGGGAAGCATACAGTGCAAGCAGCCAAATATAGCCGCTAAAATATTAACCTACTGACAAGATCTATCAGTCTACATGTTTCACTACACACCAGCCCCCTCCCTCCCACGCCTCCCCCCCCCCCCCCCCCACAACCACCGCAGCCACGGTACATTCCCCATAACCTGTAATTTCATCCGAACTTCAATCTTCACATCGTTATAATTTCTTTCAGTCTGTGAGCAAGAACCAATCGAGCTGGGTATCGTCCTGGACTCCTCTGTGTCCATCGACAGGAAGGACTTCAAAAAGGGAAAAGAGTTTCTGCAGGATTTCTTGCAACAGTTCGAAATCGGCGGTGGCGACAGAGACGTCAGGGTGTCTATTATCACTTTCGGCAAAGGCATCTACCCTGAGGTCAGTGAATTTACGGCATATTTATAATGCGTATAGCCTGTACTGTAGGTGGTATCAAAGCTCAGGTTTTCAACCTTGGGGATTCCTTATGCAGTTGCGAGTGCCGTAAAACTTCTACTAAATAAATAAAAACCTTGGGGATTTAGAGCCCGAAACAGCACGAATAGACGAATGGAAATAAACCGCCTCTTAAATAACTAGACCCCCCCCCCTCCCCCTCAAAAAAAAAAAGAAATGAAAAAAAAAGAAGAAAAAAGTTCCTACTGAAGCGTAAAATGTTACAAGAGCCCACCTTGTCCGTGACCTTCACAGTCCACCGAATCAATATCAAGGATGGGCAGGGAGGGGGGTGAGGGGGGGGGTGTGCAGAATAAAGACACCAAAGAGCACCTTACAACAATATTATAGTTCCTTCCTTTTTTTATGTTCCATCTCTATTTTTTACTTAAAAGAAATGATAACAATAATACAAGCCCCAGGCCATGGACGATTCAGATTTGAGCGCACTTAAATTAAAAAAAAATTTTTTCTCAAAACTTTAAAAAGTGACTAATTAGGTGCATATACTATTGACGCTGACAATTGATTCTGTTTCTCTTTTGTCCCCCCCCCCCCACACACACACAAAACTACCAAAAACAAAACAAAAACCCACCCCAGGATGGGTTCAACCTGACCAAGTACACTGACAAAGACGAGCTGATCGCGGCGATCGGCAACATTCCCCACAGGTTGGGACGCTACACCTCAACAGGCGAAGGTATTGAATACATGGCTACAGCTCAGCTGGCGAGTCAGTTCACCCGTTCATGGGCCGAGAGAGTTGGACTGGTCATCACAGACGGAAATTCGCAAGAGTGAGTAGACAATAAGATAGATCTGTACAGTGTGTAAGCACCAAACGAAGACATAAACGGACACAGAAATTAATCTTGCATAAAATCGTTCTTAACAATAATTTTGATCATTATTATCACTAGAGCTAGGAGTATCAGTAGCAGTAGTATGTAATTGTCATAGTAGTAGTAGTAGTAGTAGTAGTAGTAGTAGTAGTAGTAGTAGTAGTAGTATTGTGCATCAATGTCTAACGATTTGCAACGAATCTGCAGAAGAAAATATTTCATAATTAACTGATACTGAAAAAGGGTTAAGATGACGTGTGGCTTCTGCTAAGGCCAATGGGATGAGTCAAAATGTGGCAGATACAAGTTTGAATTATTATTTTGAGGATTTAAAATTAGGGGGGGGGGTCGTGAATAATGCATTATTCATTCGTGGGTGTGCACAATTTGCCGGTTTCTCTCTTGGCTATAGCATTTTTAATTAGTAAAGCCTTTTTAGTCTTTTACCTTACATTTGCTACGGGTGTTAAAACGAAATGTGAGAATATGTAAGACTAGATATATCCAAATCACAGTTCGACATTTTTCCAGATAAGGACAGCAGATTATTCAGTCTGAGATTGCTGACGGTTAAAGTTGTATTAAGGCGCAGAACAGAAAGATCTGCATGTATGCTTCATAGTATATTTAAAGGCTTTCTGTAACGTTAGACATGAACGGTTATTTTACTGACTTGGTGTCCACTACTATTACTGCTTCCCAACTAGGTCTATCAGGATCTTGGTTCACCCAGGTCGATAGATTTGTGTTGAAGTTCTTTTGAGACACTTTCAATGTGTCTTTGTTCGTCTTTTTAGTGCGCCAACTTTACACTTCTCAAAGGACAGCTTGCCTGTATCGAAGGTAGAAGTAGCTACGTTCCAATTTATTTTATATTTTGTTTTAATAAGAGTTTTACTGCACTAGCTGCACAATTAGGCCAGCTCAATTTCAGAACAATCTAAATCATGTCGGTGGACCCCAATGCGTAAAACATACATTTCAATCACATTTGCAGATCTGCTAAAACAAAAGAAGCTGCTAGGCAGGCCCGTGAATCTGGAATTACCATGTTTGCTATCGGAGTTGGAAACGTAAAGGATCAAGAGCTGGTGAATATCGCTGGAGATGCAAGCCGTGTCTTCAAGGTAGATAGCTATGATGAACTGGAGAACATCAAACAGACCCTGGCTCACCAGACCTGCATCAGTAAGTTCGTTCTGTTGTTGTTGTTGTTGTTGTTGTTGTTGTTGTTGTTGTTGTTGTTGTTGTTGTTGTTGTTGTTACTGTTGTTTTTGCTGTTGCTGTTGGTGGTAGTGGTGGTGATTGTAGAGGTGATAGTAGTGGTCGTGGTGGTAGAGGTGGTGGCGGTGGCGGTGTTGGTGTGGTGGAGAAGGTAATGATAGTGGTGGAGGTGATGGAGGAATTTTGTTTCTGTTGTTATTGGTGTTGTGTGCGGATGCTGCTTTTGTTAATTTTTAGGTTTTACACCATCATCATCTCTTCCCTATCCCTACCCCCCCCCTTCCCCTTTTTTCTGCAGAACGCTTAAGTGTAATTTGAAGCAGTCATAACACGATGACATGATTTGTAAAATCCAACGTTCAAAGTCATTCACAGATAATGTTTAAACATTATTCAATATTGAGTGTGGGAGAGGGAGAAAGAGAGAGAGAGAGAGAGAGAGAGAGAGAGAGAGAGAGAGAGAGAGAGAGGGGGGGGGGAGAGAGAGAGTGAGTGAGAGAGACATGGAGAGAGAGAGGGGGGGGGGCGAAGGGGGGGAGAGAGAAAAATTTACCAGCGTCTGTTGGGTAGATGTTAGACAGTTTGCTGTCACAGGCAGAAGACCTTTAATGG